ATTCTCTTTCCTTACAATCCCAACTCGCCTGAGCATATCTATGAACTTAACAGTGTTCTATTTTGTTTGTAACCAAGAGAGTTGCAGAAAATTTAGCTGATGTTTAGGGTGTTACCCTACTAACTGGTCAAGTGTTAAAGGAGAGCTAGGTATCCATTTGTAAGTGGCCAGAGACAAAATGGCCACTATGAACTGCTGCTTTCTTTGATGGGCTTTGTCAACTTCATCTTTCCTGAGTGACAATCACTGGTGTGAACTATTACTAGGAAACAGAGCCTGAGTCTATGGGCTCTATGACTGTGGTGTTTTTCTTATTCACACAGCTCCTTTGGCTAATTTTAGCAACATTTTCAGAGTTATTAGATAATAATATTGGCTAATATAAGTGGATTATCTATCACATACCCTGTATCCCTAAGGCTCAGAAAATATTGTAAAAGAAGAAATGCAAAGATGGTCAATTCCAGTAATTGGGGGACTGCTGCAAAATAGTATCTTCTGGGCATGACATGACCTTTGAACTCACAAATTCACAATAGTTGTTGCTTGTGAAACATTAAGTCAGTTACCATTCCATCATGGATGGGAGAGGAACTCACAAGGCCCCACCCCTAGGTGAGGAGCTACTGACAGTTGATGGCTACTAGAGGAGGTTGTCCATGCTTCAGTAGATGGCCCCATACCCATGTAAAGATGGACTCTGGGTTATAAAAACAGGACATGAGGCTCTAGAGATGGCTCAGCAGTTAAAAGTTCTGGCTGCTCTTTCAGGGGGCCTGGGTCTAATTCTCACCACACATGCAGCATCCCTTAACTGTCTGTAACTTGAATCACAGGTAACCCGGAGTCTATGGACACTGGAATCTACGGACACTGACATACATACATACTGGCATACATTCTAGACATTAGTGAAAAGGGGGAATATGGGGAATAGAGAGGGATTAGCAGTTAAGAGCATTTCTTGCTTTTTAACTTCCTGAGTTATTTATATATTCTGGATATTAACCCTCTGTCAGATTTAGGGTTGGTGAAAACCTTTTACCAGTCTGTAGGCAGTAGTTTTGTTCTGACTACAGTGTCCCTTGCTTTACAGAAGCTTTTCAGTTTCATGAGGTCCTTTTATTGATTGTTGATCTTAGAGCCTGTTCTATTGGTGTTCTGTTCAGAAAGTTGTCTCCTACGCCAATGAGTTCAGTCCTCATTGAGAAAGGAAAACAGGGTGGACATCAGAAGAGGGAGAAAACAGGAAACAGGACAGGAGCCTACTACAGAGGGCCTCTGAAAGACTCTACCCAGCAGGGTATCAAAGCAAATGCTGAGACTCATAGCCAAACATGGAGCAGAGTGCAGGGAATCTTATAAAAGAAGGGGGGGCGGTAGAAAGACCTGGAGGGAACAGGAGCTCCACAAGGAGAGCAACAGAACCAAAAAATATGGGCACAGGGGTCTTTTCTGAGACTGATAATCCAACTCAGGACCATGCATGGAGATAACCTAGAACCCCTGCACAGATGTAGCCCATAGACTCAGTGTCCAAGTGGATACCCTAGTAAGAGGAACAGGGACTGTCTCTGGCATGAACTCGGTGGCTGGCTCTTTGATCACCTCCCCCTGAAGGAGCACAATGCAGCCAGTCCTAAAGAGACCTGATAAGCTAGTGTCAGAGGGAAGGAAAGGATGACCTCCCCTATTGGTGGACTTGGGAAGGGACATGGAAGGAGATGAGGGAGGGAAGGAGGGATTGGGAGGAGATAAAGGAAGGGGCTATAGCTGGGATGCAAAGTGAATAAACTGTAATTAATAAAAAAATAATTTAAAAAGAATACTTGTTGCTATTACTGAGAACTTAGATTTTATTCTCAGCATCCAAATGGCAGCTCACAAGTCTGTAACTCTAGTTCCAGAGGATATGACATCTTCTTCTGGTCTCTGAAAATGCTGCACACACCTGGTACATATACCTACATGCAGGCAAAACACTCATATACTTGAAATAAAACTAAGTTTTTAAACGCCCCTTTTTTTTAAAAAATAGGAAAAGAGATTGGGATCTTCTGGAGTTGGAGTTTGAGGAAGTTATGAGCTGACTGGAATGGGGGCTAGCACAAGGAGTATGTCACTGAACTGTCTCTGAACTGAAGTCACTGAACTGTCTCTGCATTTCCCTATTTCCTGTTTTTAAGATGAACATTCTTCTGAATCTATTTCAGAGCCTCCCACTTACCATATTCTATGAATGCATAGCTAGCCTGGAGAATAATATTAAAAAGTATAGTTTACTTGTTTTGGTAAGACACATTTTTTTCATATTGTTTCTTTCTGCCACTCTAATAACCCAATATAACTCCTTGTCATAACAAATTGTTGCTAGAAAAATGTTTGCAGCTTTGTAGGATATAGAGAAACCCTGAGACTATAACCCTGTCAGTGTAGCTGAGATTGTCATCATTATGACAGCACTCAGCCTCACCAAGTCTGCAGGTCTGCTCAGGCCCCAGTGTTTTCCTACACACATTTTTTTTTTAGACAGTTTCTCTCTGTAGCCTTGGCTGTCCTGGGCTCACTTTGTAGACCAGGCTGACCTCAAACTCACTGAGATCCTCTTGCCTCTGCCTCCCCACCTGCCGGGAGTGTGCTGCCACACCTACTACATTTTCTAATTTCTTTACGTTATATTTTTGTTAGCTTACATTGTGAATTTATAGCTATTTATGAGTCACTATTTCTTCGCCCTAAGGCTCCAAGTAGAAATTGCAGGTCAAATTTTTGTGACAGTGTTTGCACAAATACATTACTATCACCAAAAAAAGATAAACATTTTTTTTAAATATTTTTATTAGTTTTTTGACATGCAATGTATTTTTATGCGTGCAACATATTTTCTTCTCGTTACTTCATCCGTCTTAACAGAGTGGTATAGCAGTCTGTTTTCATGAGATTTTTCCTGTCCCTTATGTTCCCTGAACCTGTTCACCTGGAACCATGACACAGAAATAATATCAAAGTGACATATATAGCTACTTGGCCCACACCTGCACAGTCTTTGGGGATTTTTATACCCTGTAGGTAGAATGACCTGTAGGTATATGGTAAAGACCCATTTAAACTTCATCAGAAGACACTGTGATGCATTATTTTCCCAGGATCACACTGTCATTCTTCCAAGGAAGGCTTGACATCACTACCTATCTGTTCAGGTAACTTCTGTGTGAGAAAGTGCTGATCCAGCCACATCTGCCCATGTCTGTTCAGGGTTCCATATGTGCAGCCTACCATTTTCATGCACATTCTGAATTATAATGCACTGTGGTTTCACTGAAGTTGGCTGATTGTGTTTTCTTTGACCCTAAATCTGGCTTCTTTGTTATAGTTTACATCATAGTCTATCTTGACCCTAAAATTTATGTCAGCTTTTCTTTTGGAAACCATTTCACCTGGGGCATGTGCAATACACATACACACACACACTCCTGGTTGCATTTCTGTTTCTGTGAGAAGTAACCTTTACAAAACCAGCTTAAGAGAGAGAGGGTTTATTTGACATCTATAATTTCATGATACAGTCCATCATTGGGGAAAAATCAAGACAGGAACTTTAAAAGCTTGTCCACAGGAAAGATCAGAGAGAATTTGAATGGGTGCATGTGCTCAGCTTGCTTTTTCTTTATTCATACCCACAGTTCTACTCACAGTGGTCTGGGCTTTTTCTTACCAATTAAAATTAGCAAGACATTCCTTCTGGGTCTGTGTTAATATTTGTGCCTATGTTCCCACTGAATGCTGGGTGAAGATCTGTGGTTCATACTGTGACTGGAAGCCATGTTGATGTTCATCATCCCAGCTATATCAGAGGGCCTTATTATGTCCATGGCTCTCCTATAGCTGGGGACCAGAAACTACATGGAAGCCCATAATCCATGCTCCCAGGGTCCATAAAGAGCAAATAAGTTACTTCGCATAGATATTTATGACTGCAGACACACAGACGAGAAAGAGGAATATGGAAGACTGCTGTGAGAACCATTACCTCCACCGCACCCCTCCAAAAATAGTAACAGCCTAGACAGGAAGCCATCTGGGAGAACTCTTAGAAACTGTGATAGGATGCCTGGGTGTCGCCCTTCATAGGAAATGACTTCCAGCAGGAAGATTCAGCTCCATTTAAGAAGCGGGCCAGTGAGAATTTGACCACGCCCCCGTGAATCTAGAGATGGCACAAATTGCACATGTTTTGTTTTTGTTTTGTTTTGTTGCTTGGGAGAGGTAACAAGGATGGTGGGGAGGACAGGAAAGAACTAGAAAGTGAATGTGATAGGGGTGTATGATATGAAATCCCTAGAGTCAACAAAAATATTATGTTGGAAAAAAAAAGAGACTCCTTCATAGACATGGCTTATGGCCATGTCTAGATGGTCCTTCATTGAGATTCTTCCTCCCAGGCCACTCTAGATTTTGTCAAGTTGACAATTAAACCAACTATCACATATATGTATTCATATATTTGTGTATGTGCAATTACACCTTTTTTGTATAATACAATCTGATGGTAATTGGTCATCCTGTAGTATGTATATGATGTTGTAATATATAACAGAAAATTCAGTGTTTAGTATTATTATCTGTATATAACTTATAGATTCATTGCGTGTGTTTTGGTGGAAATCAGACAGGGCCATAGGTATGCTAGGTCCTGAACTACAGTGAAATTTTTATATAATAACCTAATTACAAAATACAGTGTGCATCAGATATTAATTTCCATCATGTATATGAAAGCATGAACATTATTTAAATCATCTCAAAGGGGTGTAGCTCAGTAGTGGAACACTTGCCTAACATACACAAGGCCCTGAACCTATCCCTAGCACCCACAACACACACACACACACACACACACACACACACACACACACACACACACCACACACTGCACACATACTCAGAAGGCAAATACACACAATATATTGAAAGCAGTGTTTCTGATGTCTTTCTAACAGAGGGTGGCTGCCACTTGATAGAGACGAAGACCTCATCACCGCAAGGTGAGGCTAAGATGAGCATTACCAGCGACGAGGTGAACTTTCTGGTATATCGCTACCTCCAGGAATCAGGTAACCAGCTTGCTTTTCTGTAGGAAGTTGGTTTTAAATATGCCTTGGGCAGAACACCAGTGCAAGCCAGACTATCGGATCATCAAAAAGACCTAAGGACTCTCTTTGAAAGAGTGTTACAGAGACGGAGAAGTGGTTTGGGTGGATGCTTCATCCTGGGTTGGAGTGGGGTCGTACATGATCTTTCATCTCAGGACAGAAGAAATTAAGAGTCATTGAGCCAGGTATCTTGACACATGACTTTTAATGCTAGCACTTTGGAGAAAGAGACAGATAGATCTCTGAGTTCAAGGCGTCAAAATGTTGCTTCAAGGTATATAGTTAAGAGGCTAGACACATGTCTTTTATTGGCAAAATAAGCCTTGTGGATAGCAGCTGTTATGCTTAGAGAACCTCCGGTGGAACAGAACGCTACTTTGAAATGATCTAATGTGATTTTAATTCTCAAACAAAACACTTTTTTATTCTCACAACTTGAAGATATTTAAAACCTACAGAATGACTAGTGAACCCCATTTTGGTACCAACCCATGTAACTCAAACAACAAGCTACTTCAGTCCAGTTAAAAACCTCCAATGTTCATTTCCCTGGTGGAGAATTGAAGTCTCTGTGACGCTGTTGGCAAGTGTCTCCTTCTGAGGGCTATGTGGGGAGTCAATCCCATGTCCCCCTGGCTTTGGTGACCTATTGGCAACCTTTGACATACCTTGGCTTAAAGCTTTATCACCTTGGTCCCAATGTCCAAATGTCCCCACCTTTCCTTTTACCGGAAAAAAAAAAAAAAGTCATATTGGTCTAGGGTCTCAGCATACTTATTTTAATAGGTTATGACTGCCATAAATCTATTTTCAAATGGTCACTCTCTGAGCTATAATGTGTCCCTACTTTCCAGAATTGCTTTCTTTTGCAATTAGCAAATATCTCAAGCAAATCAAATTAAAGAAGGAAATGTTTGTTTTTGTTTTTTTTTTTTCTGTCTTTCTGAAGTCTTAGTACATGGTTGTTTTGGTTCCATTGTTTTTCGGTGTGTGGTATGAGAGAACATGGTAGGAGTATGTGGTGTGGCAAAGTAGCCCACCTCATGGCATCCAGGAAGCAAAGAGAAAATGATGGAGAGGAGTAGAGTCTCCAATATCTCCTTAGAGGTCACACACTTGATGACCTGACTTCTTCCTATTAGGCCCCACTTCTTTTGTTGTTGTTTTGGTTTTTGTTTGTTTGGTTTGGTTTGTTTTTTCAAGACAGGGTTTCTCTGTGTAGCCTTGGATGTCCTTGGACTCACTTTGTAGACCAGGCTGGCCTGAAACTCAGAGATCTGCCTGCCTTTGCCTCCTGAAGTACTGGGATTACAGGTTTGCGCCACTGAGCCCGCCTTAGGCCCTACTTCTTTTTTCTTTTTTTTTATTAAATTTTTTATTTTTTTATATTAATTACAGTTTATTTACTTTGTATCCCAACTGTATTCCTATCCCTCATTCCCTCCCAATCCCTCCCTCCCTCCCTCATCTCCTCCCTGGCCCTCTCTAAGTCCACTGATAGGGAAGGTCCTCTCCCCTTCCATCTGACCCTAGCTTATCAGATCTCACCAGGACTGGCTGCAGTGTCCTCCTCTGTGGTCTAGCTAGGTTGTTCCTTCCACAGAGGGTGGGGAGATCAAAGAGCCAGCCACTGAGTTCATGTCAGAGACAGTCCCTGGTCCCCTTACTAGGATACCCACTTGGACACTGAGCTACCATGGGCTACATCCAAGCAGGGGTTCCAGGTTATATCCATGCATGGTCCTTGGTTGGAGAATCAGTCTCAGAAAATACCCCTGTGCTCAGATATATTTGGTCCTTTTGGAGCTTCTGTCCTCTCCAGGTCTTACTAACTCCTCCTTTCATATTAGGCCCCACTTCTTAAAGACTCTATATCACCACCCAATTGTGCCACTGACTTGTCACTCAAGCCTCTAAGCATATGGGTCTTTGGAGGACATGTCACAGTCAAATGAGTGCATTCTTCAATGTAAGATATAGTTAACTCCTGTTAAATCCTCTTATGTTGAAAATGCCAGTCAAATTCATTTAAGGCCTGGGTAGATGGTCTGATGGGTAAAATGCTTTCTGTGCAAGTATATGGATCTGAGTTCGATTCCCCACCTCCCAGGTAAAAGGCAGGTTTGCCATCAAAGTGTGTTTCTAATCACATATTGGTGCTCCTTGCTTCTCTGTGTCTCCTGATTTTTCTCCTTGCCTGCTCAACTCTAATTCAGAAGCTGAGCTTCTATTCTACAGCTTTTCCCACACCCCTTGTCACTCACAGCTCCATGTTCACATTTCCAGCCCACACCTCCCTCCCTGCTTGGCTCTCACCTACCTCTGCTTCCCTCTTCCTGCAGGTTTTTCCCACTCTGCCTTCACGTTTGGGATCGAAAGCCACATAAGCCAGTCCAATATCAATGGGACACTAGTGCCACCGGCTGCCCTGATCTCCATTCTTCAGAAGGGACTGCAGTATGTGGAGGCAGAGATCAGCATCAACGAGGTATGTTCATTTCTCAGAATATGGCAGAGTTCTGGCTTCCCTTAGCAGATCTGGAGAATGTGTCTATGATATGATTTCAGTACACAGGTCTGGCATACATACGAAGGTACCTGGGGAAAAGTGGAGCCTACAAACATGACACTACACCATCAGCTAGCTTTTGGTGCCCCCTTGTGTGGGTTTGCAGAATCTCAAGATGTTGGCTGATAAAAAGAACCAATTCATTCTAACAGACTTTCATCTATGCTGGACCAGGGTTTTGCATGAGCAGACAAGCTCTCTTTCTGATTTCCCTGGGCAGATTGGCCAATAAGGGAAATCCTACAGACTACTCATGGAGAATCTCTATTTTCTGTGAAACTGACAAGGGCCATAACCAGAGGGAAATTTGGACAGCAATTATGTTCTCTCTCTCTGCCCCTCCCCCTTCCTCCATGTTTCCTGACTGAGCCTTGGAGCAAGTGGTATAGTTGTCCAGTTTATAGCTTTGCATTCAGTGTTCATTTGTTTTTTTGAATTTTTATCAGTTATAATTCTCTGTAGTGATTACCATCCCCTGGGGGAAAGAAGCTTCCCTGACCAGAGCTAATAAAAGCAATAATCTATGGACTTAAACACAGATATTTAGCATTTGATAAGCACATCATGTCCATTTAGCAAAACCATACAATATCTTCCCCAGCTGCAGGGTTTTGGCCAAGTTTACAATACCAGGTATGAATTCCCACTTGGGAAGCAGTTCTCAAATCCAATCAGAAAGCAGTTCATTACCCTCATAACATCCAGGCCACTGTTGCAGTGGACACATATTCCCTGCCAGGTTGGTGGTATAAAGCATGTAGAGTTCACAGCTGAGTGGCAACTCTTTCTTAGCAGTACTATTGTTTTAGTAGTCAATGGCTTCTAGGAGCAGCTTTAGCTATGCATGCAGGATACCTCTGTTCATACTTTGTTTTGTTTTATTTTTTTTAACTTAGAAAATAATATGTTTCTTTACTGATATGTTTTATACGTACTTCACATGCCACCCCTCTCCTTCCCTGAATGGGATCCCACCATTAGAAATTTTTTATCTTCCAAGAGGCTTTTTGTTTGTCTGGGGTTAGATAATCTTTATCACATGTTTCCAGGCACTGGAAAAAAAAAAAAAGAACTCAGACAATACGTTTTAAATGTGGCAGTTTTTTTAAAAAAATATTATTATTATTATTATGTTGACAGTGACCTCTTTTTTAATTCATTAGTCAACTTTTATTTTGTGTGTACGTATGGGTTGCCTATAGGTGTGTCTGCGCATCATTGAGTTTCTGGTACCTGCAACAGCTAGAACAGGGCATGAAGTTGCCCCAGATTACAGCTGCTTGTGTATACTGGGAACTGAACAAAGCTCATCTAGAAGAGCAGTTAGTGCTCTTACCTGCTGAGACATCTTCCCAGCCATGTGACCATGTTTTGTGACACCATCATCTATTTGCTGTGAGTCTCTATGGAAGAAGGAAATGACATGGAAGGCTCAAGACTTGTCAACCTCAGTCATGCAGGGCCAAAATCCAGGGCCAAGTGGCTGATGGGTGAAACTGTATGTGCTATGTTGAATTATTTTCCACATTGTATTAGAATTTTAAAAAGCCCACCTGGGACAATGTGTTGTTTAGCTAGGATTCAGCTGAAACTTGTGCCTTTCCATTTCTGAGATAATTGAAGTTCAGAGCATATGGGAACATGGTTTTTCATCCAGCAGACAGCCTGGAGGCATGTGGAGATTCATGATTAAAATATTTGGAGTGTTTCCTAAGGAAAGAACTTCCTGTGTTTTTTGTCTTTTTTTTTTTTTTTCCAGAGCTGAGGACCGAACCCAGGGCCTTGCGCTTGCTAGGCAAGCGCTCTACCACTGAGCTAAATCCCCAACCCCCTTCCTGTGTTTTTAAGGATGTGTGGAAATGTGTTCGTGGTAGATGGAAACCAGACAAAGTACAGGTTTTTTAAAATTCATTTTAGAATCAAGTGACCATGTTGCCTAGTTGTATTATGATGATAATTTCATCTCTACACTAAGCCTAGAGGGTCATAGAGCACAGTCAGGTGGACCCGAGTACCAGGAGTTGTATTCTGAATGGTGCAGTTGTCTTTACATTGGGCTCATTCTTTCTTCATTGCTAATAGTGGTCATTGCAGAGATGCCCAATCTGGTGTAGCATCCAGTCCTAATTTCTTTCAGTCTCAGCAATATACCTTTGCGGTTCATGGTTGCCACCAGCCTTAGCACTACACCTTTGTGGAGCAGAGGAGGGATTTCCAGATCACCTAGGGATGATAAGCAGCATGACCTGCTTCCCCACTGGATGACAGTATAAACCCATGTTCCCAGTGTTGACAACATTGAGACTTGCCCTTTAAGGAGGCAATTCTACTCTACTGGTTAAATAACCACTACATTGATGGTAGTAGATTTTGTCATAGTATAAAAGTAAACCTGTTCACATACTCTTAATGCCCAAATTTAGCTAGGCATGTATCATATCTCCACTAAGGAAGATCTTCACTGCTAGCTCCCCATGAACAGTCCTTCTCCTCATCCACTTACCTATCCCTCTTTGCCATCTAACCCTGTCCCACCACAAAATTTCTTGTACTTTATTCCTAGTCCATGCCAACTTCTGGTTAATGGCAGCTGATGGGTAACACGTCCCTTTCTTTCCTAGGATGGCACGGTATTTGATGGGCGTCCTATTGAGTCCCTATCGTTAATTGATGCTGTGATGCCCGATGTGGTCCAGACAAGACAGCAAGCCTTTCGGGAGAAGCTTGCCCAGCAGCAAGCCAATGCAGCAGCTGCGGCGGCGGCTGCAGCCACAGCCACAACCACAGCAGCTACAACACCAGCAGCTGCTGCTCAGCAAAACCCACCAAAGAATGGAGAAGCCACCGTGAATGGGGAAGAGAATGGAGCCCATGCAATAAGTAAGTGAAGAATTTCTGGACTTTAAGAGACATGATTTTGTTTGTGTGTTTTTCCTTTCCGATCTGTGTTTAGTTGAAGGTATGCTTAAAGTGCTGCCTGCTGCCATTCTGTTAAATTGCTTTCTGGGCTTTGCTTCCTATCTGTCCACAAGATCTCCATCTTCTATGATTTCACTCACATCCCTTGGTTTCAGGAAATTTTGCACCTGTGGCTATGTCCACATCACAAGGCAAGCTTCCATAAATATGTTACCCAACATAAAAATACATCATTTGCAGTGCTTTTCAGTCTCACCATCCCACCAGTATCCCATGCTCAGGATCTTAAGATAAACTGTGCTATAAATCAGCAAGTCAAGGTAAAGTTCAAGAGCAGTAGGCTCAGACATGGGCCATTACATTGCTTTTTCTTTGTAAACCCCCATCAGTTTAGCCACTATTAGGTAATTGTCAAGAGCATTTATTTCTAGAGTAGAGTTAGCACAGGTGAAGTGGTGTCCACATCAGCCCTGCACCTGGACAGAGCAGAAGTGAACGTGTGCCTTAAAGTACAGTGGCAGCTCAAACACATAGAGCAGGGTTGTTCTGTGTGCACCCACAGCTCTGGCGGTTGTACATTGTGCTTCCTAAAGGTTTAAGCCCTGGTGCCATCTACTGAGGTTTATGATTTCCACAGCGTCTTGGGCCTGGTGCACCTGGGGTGCTGAACTTGGCCTTCGTGGTCTGCTACTGCAAGGAAGCTTCTCCTTTCTGTTGCAGCAATGGCTGATCAGGCTGTAGACAGAGGACAGCGTTCAGGAGTTGTTTTTCTTTCTCAACCCAGGGTTTGGAGCATTGAACAATGAGATGGCTAAGCCATCTCATTAGCTTTCTTGTGTGAGTCTCTTGAGGGTGGCAGTATGAGATAGCTTTCTGTTCTTGTAATGGCATACCTGAGGCAACTAGTTTAGAAGGAAAAAAGGCTTACTTCAGCTCGTAGGCAATGCATACACGTGGCCATGACCTCGGTGGAAACTTATGGTGGAGGGCCATCCTGGTAGACAAAACAAGTCAGAGCAGACTACAGATGGCTAGCAGTGACTTTCTACTAGGCACCACTTCTTAAAGGTCCCATCACCTGCTTTTGTATCCACATGTGGACAGCAAGCTTCCAGCACACAAACACTTTGGAAACAAATATACAGCATAGTACTGTCAAATCAGAAATACAAAATGTACACCAAACTGCAGAAATTCCCACTTTTGTGCTCATCATGTGTGCCTTTGACACATGACAACAAAGTACTTTTAAAACAGTAGTGCCTAAGGATGCATTTTTTTAAATGGGTTTGGTGAGCCATGTATATTTTCATGTTTGCTTGGTAGATAATCATTCAAAACCAATGGAAATAGATGGAGACGTTGAAATTCCATCAAGTAAAGCCACAGTCCTTCGAGGCCATGAGTCGGAAGTGTTCATTTGTGCCTGGAATCCTGTTAGTGATCTACTTGCTTCTGGGTAAGAATTTGGGTCAGGAATGCACCTGGGTCTGGAGGATGTGAGGAAGCTCACTCTTCCTTAGAGTGCTGCATTGAGAAAAGCACACTTGTTTGTTATATCTTCCCAATGTGTGAAGAATAAGGAACAAGCTGTTTTGTGCATCCTGTACTGTGGGAAAGCCAGTTAGTGGTCTCAGCCATTTCTCTGTTTGGTGGGGAGAAAGGCAGACACATTTCAAGTCAGCAAGCAGAAGGAGGTGGGTGAGGAAGAGGGGTGGAAAAGCAAGGCACATGCTAATGATGTGAGAGCTAGCCATACAACAGTCACATTTTCCTATTGAACCAGAGTCAAATGCTCTATATTGGTTCTGCAGATCTGGAGACTCCACTGCAAGGATATGGAACCTTAATGAGAACAGCAACGGGGGCTCCACACAGCTTGTGCTGAGGCACTGTATACGTGAAGGGGGACACGACGTTCCCAGTAATAAAGATGTCACGTCATTGGACTGGAATGTAAGCAGCTTTTGCCATCCACATGTTCAAATGAAGTGAATGCAAACACAGAGAAACAGTTCTGTTGTCGTATCTTCCACCTTGGGATACTGGTACCAGGGGCTCATGATCAGGTCCCAGTGGGCTGACAGCAGCCTGGGAGTGGGAAGTTGTCCCCATCATCGTGAACTTGTGTTGCCTCTGTGAGAGGGCTGGCTCTGTCATACAGGCCCATGTGGGAAGGAGACCCAGGAAAGCACCCAGATAATAATGCGTATTGTCATTTTCTGTCCGCCAGAGCGATGGGACACTACTGGCAACAGGTTCCTATGATGGTTTTGCAAGAATATGGACAGAAGATGGTAAGTTCTGCATCCCTCATGTTGAGTTCTGAACTTTGTGTGTGATCCTGGAGTAAACAGTTTGTGACTGTGAAGTCACCATGCCTGTGTTTTCCTATCTCAGGTAACCTAGCCAGCACCTTAGGTCAACATAAAGGCCCCATCTTTGCCTTGAAGTGGAACAAAAAGGGGAATTATATTTTGAGTGCTGGTGTAGACAAGGTAAGTATCAACTTTAAATACATACCTTTTTATCTGTGAATGTGGATTTGTTTTTTAGTTTGTTGGCTTCTTTGGCAAAGTAACTCATTTAGCCTGCTTGTATCTTAGGTTTGAACTTACTGCTGACTTTGAACACTCTATCACCCCATAACACATTTACCTCTGTAGACCTTCATGCAGAATGTGCTCTTGGTCCAGTGATGGAAAGAGAAAAGCACTCCAAATGGAGTTTATTAATACAGGAAACATTATACTGTTGTGGGTATTTCTCTGTTGGCTTTCATCCACTGAGCAATTTTTAGTCATAGGCTCTTTTTTTTTTTCACTCCCCTGCCTTTACCTTAGTTCGCCTATTAACCCCTGCTTCCCACTGTAGATGCCAGAATCCTCTGAGACCCAATACAAGTTTCACAGAAACTCATGGAGCTGACCTAGAGTTTGATTTTTCTCAATCCACACCTTGGATTTTGGATTTTAGGGCTGTTCTACCTGTTCTCCCGGTTCATGGAGTGACAGGGGATTGTTGGAAATGTTCATTTCTGCAGCACGTCCTCTGGAACAAGGTTCAAAGGACACATAGATGTGCCTTCTTATCTGTTACTTAATGGTTTTCTGGGTATGGGAGCTGAGGGAAATTTTCCATAAATTTTGGTAGATTTCTCACATACATTGGTGAAGGCTGCTATTTATCAGTTGCTCTCATTAATGTAGCATCCACATTACTGAGTGTGACATGCACATTGTACATGAGAGACTTAGGTCAGAGCTGTAGAAGTGACAACTGTTGTATAAATGTTTTACACTGTTGCATGTATAGGTGATAACAGTTTGGCTATATATAGGCATAAATATGATAATGTTAACTTAATTTCTTAGGAGGAAAGGGGGCAGATTGTCTTTTATGGTACAAAATATCCTTCTAGATAGTTCTTTGAGAATAATAATAACTAACTTTTTCCCTCCGTTTGCAAAACACAGACAACAATAATTTGGGATGCCCATACAGGAGAAGCCAAACAACAGTTTCCTTTTCATTCAGGTGGGTTTGCTCTTGGGGTTATACAGAGGTAGCCCCAGGAATTTCTTAGTTATTTAAGCTTGTGTGATATTATAGAAGAATAGAGATATATCAAGACTTTGGGACTTAGGACTACTGTGAAACAGTATTGGCAATAAGAAAAACAAAACAAAAGCCAGAAAAACAAAAACAGACAAAAAAAACAAACAAACCAAAAACAACAAAAAAAACTTGGTACTTCCCTTTTACACATAACTGGACCTGTCCCTGAGGGCATTTTTTTTTTCATAGAAAGGTGGGGGTCTCCAAAGGCATTTTATGCTTGCAAATTGGAAGGACAGGGTCTTTAAGGTCTTTCAAGGATGTTTTTCATGCTATCAGTACAGCCAATTCACACTGGAGATGTTATTCATGGTCAATAGGCATAACTCCTGGAGATGCTTTTATCTGAATCACTGAGCTCTATATTCCATTAATCAGGCAACTGTCCTCTCTTTCCTCCTGCCTTGCAGCACCTGCCCTTGATGTGGACTGGCAGAACAACACTACCTTTGCCTCATGTAGCACAGACATGTGCATTCATGTATGCAGGCTTGGCTGTGATCGCCCAGTCAAAACCTTCCAAGGACATACTGTAAGTTTCAGTTCAGATGCTCAGGGTTAGGGGTTGTGAGAATGTGGTGTGGGAACCCTCTTTTCAGTGCCAGCATCAAATTAACTGTGTAAGGGAAACTACTACTCATCTTTGCTGCTGAGAATCTGTGACTGCCCTGAGTGGTGGAATTAACCCAGCTATGGTGTCAGTGGTCCTGGGAATACCTCAGAGTAGCTATCAACTAACCTTCTCTTTGTTATGTCCTGTACCTGTTTCTCTAAACCCAGTCTATTTCCCAGCTTTTACTAGGGGCACATGTTTTCAGTTTGATTTCTGTTGTTCCTGCTTAGACTTTACCTTTCTCATACCTTGCCTCCTGGCTCCGTAAATGGTTCTCACTGATGCTGATTACTGGGAAGTGGTCTACCTACATGTATCTGAACCTGATGCTTCTTGAGACCTGTGTGCTGGTTCTGGTTGCTTCCCTGGATGTTTGACTTGAGATGCGGAAAGATGGCAAGAGAGAAAGCTCTGCTCCCAGGAAGGAATTTGTGCCTCCATGGGGAATTGAAGATGGGTCAGCTGGGGACAGACAGGTCATGGAGAGGTCTGCCTGTGAGGTTTTTCTACAGCTGCAGTTGGAGACATGCATACTGCCTCATTTACACTTGGGCTCACAGATAAACGCGCACTGACATGTACACCATCTATGCTGCTCTGTAATCACACCCTTCTTATCCTCTGGTCTGATCACAGAGAACTTTGCTCCTTGTATTCCCAGCTTCTTCCAATTTCACACCCTTCAAAACTTGGTATGCTTACAAAGGGAATCAACCACAGCATTTAGAGGTATGAAATTATTTAGAAAATAATCTGGCATATGAAGTTGTTTGTTAGGCCAAGAGAGCTAGCTTGACAGAGGAGTCAGTTAATGGCAGAAGTATTCCCAAGAGCACTCTGAGGAAGCTCCTAGACAATAAATTTTTCCATCTTTCCCTCTGCCTCTTGCTCCTCATGCTGTCCCTGCATGTGTTCCTTTATATAAATACATCCCCTTCTCCCATCCGAAATAGAAGCCTCTCTCCTTCAGTCTTTGGGTCTCTGGTACTCAAAAACCAAGAAAACCTGGCAGTTTCCTTGTTGTATGGCCCCCAGAATCCAGATGATGAACCCAATGAGTTTTATTGGGGTTACTTACAAGAATTTGGGTGAAAAGTTACTTACAGAAGTAGAAATGACTCAAAGACAGCTGCATCACCAAAGCTCACCCTAAAATGGGTGACAGCTCATGAAAGCTAGAAACCTGGAGCTACCTGCACAGCCATACGCCATTTTCTGTGTGGCTCAGTTGATCAGGCAGCTTGTCTTGTCTTTGTTTCTTCTAGGCAGTTCATCTGGCATATGCTTCTAGGAACCTGTGCTTTTTCTGAGAGTGGTTCAGCAGGCTTTTCTGTTTATACATATAATCCTATGGTGAGAGTTGGGGAGCTAGTGAATCTGGTCAGTTTGAAGGACTTCCTGGAGGTTTTTTGAGTTGCTCACTTCCTGTCTTAATGAGCTTCCTTGTAGTATTTCACCTCACTTACAACTCCCTGAATACATCCTATCTTAAGAAGTTTCCCTTCAAAATGGAAGCTTTTGCTACACAGCAAAAATCCATGGGGGCACGGATTTTATTTCTCGGTTCCTTTTCCTAACTATAGTTCTGACTATCATTTCTCTGCACATATGAATTGCTTGTGTGTGCCTTCGGATGGCTTTTCCTTTTGTCTGTCTCTGCCTTTGTTCTGTCTAAGCCCTTCTATATCTTACCTCACATCCAGCAACTATTTCAACAGAGTAAAGAAAAACTGTTGTATTGAAAGCACATAGGAAAATGATCAAAGTCCACACTTAAAAATAACTAGTTTTAACTGGGCATGGTGGTGCACGCCTGTAATCCCAGTACTCAGGGAGACAAAGGCAGTTGGATCTCTGAGTTCGAGGCCAGCCGGGTCTACAAAGTGAGTTTAGGACAACCAAGACTACACAGAGAAACCTTGTCTCAAAAAAACAAAAAATAAAATAAAATAGAAATACCTAGTTTCAGCTCTGCTTTATGGCATATCCTTGTACTTCTAGTACTGAGGAGGCTGACAAAAATAGTTCTAGTCATCCTGGGATGCATAAAGTGCTTTTGGCTTGCCTGTCTACATAGTGAGACCTTTTCTCAAGCAGCAATAAATAATAACTGATTTAATTTACTCTGCTTATTGTGTGCAAATTCTTCATTTGGCTTCCTTAATAAGAAAAAAAAATTTCCTAAAGGAGTATGGATGAGAGTATGGCTGGTCCTTTGTGATATATTGCAGTGTTTTATTTTTTTGTTTGTTTTTGGTTTTGGTTTTTTTATGAATGAAAAGCAAAATGAGGATCGTGTAACTGTGACTGGGTTCTGGTGCTGTGGTTTCTGAGATCCTGTGAACACTCCAAAGGCCCTCTGTTCTGCAGTGCTTACTACGGTATGGCCACTTAGTAGATGCCTGCCTTACCTACTTAAAGGTTCTGATTCTGAAATTCTGTACTGTCTTGCAGAATGAGGTCAATGCTATCAAATGGGATCCTTCTGGAATGTTGCTAGCCTCCTGCTCTGATGACATGACATTAAAGGTAATGTTGGTGCCTAAAGGGATGAAGTGTTTAACCTTAGACAAGTCCCTGTACTGGCAAACAACCCCACCCTCATCATGTGGAACTTTACTTTAATGCTGTCTTTTCTCCATGACTTTCCTGATTTCTAGAGTGTTTTTTCCCTCCATGGAACTTTGACATATTGGGGCCACGGTTTCTACTGAAAGACCTTGTGGCCTGTCCACCAGCAGCATACTTGTAGACTTAGCTTGACTCTGTGCTTTCACACTTCCTCGCAGTCACTTGCTAATGTGCCTGGTTGACTCCTTGCTGGCTTGTGAGCCTCTCCCAGATCTGCCACCTAAGGAATGCTCCCTTAGGTGCAACAGAATAAATGGTGCTAAACCATTCTCAATTCGGGGCACAGTATTAGCTCACACTGTGACCAATGCCTCTTTCAGATCTGGAGTATGAAGCAGGATGCATGTGTCCATGACCTCCAAGCTCACAGCAAAGAGATATATACCATCAAGTGGAGTCCCACAGGACCAGCCACCAGCAACCCGAACTCCAACATCATGTTAGCAAGGTAAGGCAGGGCAACTTCACAGCTCTGTCTCCTTCCTGAGCACAGCTTCGTTCACTGCTGCCTAGTGAGTAACTCGGCTGGGGAGACTCAGACCTAGAGTCAGCAGTGCCGATGATCTTCCAAACTAAGTTCCCTGTGAAGCCGGGCAAAAAGATAGAAGTATATCTTCCCTCAGTATCCATGGAGATGTTTCCTGAACCTTGTCTGGGTATGAAAATCCAGGAGATCATAGAGATTTTGAATAACCAACCTTTTTCTGTGGTTGTTTTCTCTGTTCTCTTCCTAGTGCTTCATTTGATTCTACGGTTCGACTGTGGGATGTGGAGCGAGGTGTTTGCATCCACACACTGACCAAGCATCAGGAGCCTGTCTATAGTGTAGCATTCAGCCCTGATGGGAAATATTTGGCCAGTGGATCCTTTGACAAGTGTGTCCATATCTGGAATACTCAGGTAATGTCTTGACTTCCTGGCTGAATCCTTCCCGAAAGGCATGTTCTCAGTTCTTTGGCTGTCAGGAGTGCTGGAGAATGAGTTATCTCAGTTAGAGAGTAAGTAGGGCCTCCCCATGGAGACTGTAGATTCTATGTGATCTGCTGTGTGTACCTCAGTGATATGATGCCTTCCCCACCTATAATGCCTGGAGTATGTCCTCTGGATTCTTTCTGACCTCAAGCCAGAACTCTCTAGCTTGTCATCTCATGAGCATTCTCCTTTGTAATATCCACTGTCTTCTGTTGTCTTATCCTGCCAGGGACAAGACCTACATCATACTGAAGAAAAAGCACTACCTAGTTCTGTCACCTTAGAAATGCTGCCCTTTGTAGGAAGGCCCAATAGGTGGCTGTTTATAGAACTTTATTTACACTAAGGGGATACTGGGACTACCAACTTGACCTTCCCCTTGTCCACTGTGGTGCATCTCAGCACGAAGAAATACGAGGCTTGGAATTTTCACATTTGAAAATGTTTTATATTTGTTTAACTCGGGATTTTATGGATATTGGATTGTCATTTCAGCAGGGACTAAAAAGGGAAGGGGTTGGAGTCAATACTGCCACTGTGGGTACCTCTAGCCTTATACAAATGAGTGAATTCTGAATGTCAAGAGGAGAAGTGGATGAGAACTAGTGTGGTAGAATGGGAGGAAGTCATGTACTGGGCTGTTCTTTGTTACTTTGGGGGGACGGCAGGCAAACATTCTGCTTTGAGCTACATCTCAGCCCTTGGTCACCATTCCAATTGAGATAAGTAAGATGAAAATACGTAAGGAGTCAATTTGCTTGACCTCAAGAAAGATTCAGTGCCTCACATTTGTGTAATTCATCTCTTACTCATTTTTGATTGGTTGACATTTAGAAGTATTTGAAAGCTTAAGTTTATGACCCCTTGTGACAAGGGAGGCTGTGAATAAGCCATGTTCCAGGAGTCCACTGAGATCACAGGCTTTTCAGGGACATACTCCAAAAGTTGGCAACATGTTTCTGGGCATGCTGATAGAAGCCTCTCATCCAGGAATTGAAGCCAGCATGGTTTGTGTTATCACGAAGCAAAACTGAACAACAAGTAGAAATATGTGTGGGAAGACTCAAACAGAGAGAACAGATTTTGCTAGTGATAAGCACAATTTGAAGGGGCCAACCAGTTGAAATACAAGTGCCTCAGTAATATCCTTGAGGGAATGGACTCCAGACCCCTGCCCCTGTGGATACCATAATCTGTGGAGCCCAATTCATATCTATAAGATGGCATGGTATGTGTGTAGAATTGACACACATATACTTTTACTAGGTAACTCACAATACCCAGTACAATACAATGTGAATATTATAAGAGTGATGGTTAGACTTTTTGGTTTTCTCCCCCCCACACACACACATACACACTTAGGAATTGAATCTAGGGCCCTAGAATTCTGTGTAGGGCCCAGGTTGGCTTCAAATTTAGAATCCTTCTCCAACTTTTAGAGTATCTGGGATTGCAGACCTGTGTCATTTATAATTGAGTAATTATAGCGGGGAGGGTGCTATAAAGGTCTAAGATTATTGAGTCTATATTGAAGGGATTTATTTGAGACACCGTAGAGCCTGTTTTAATCCTCTTGTTATAAGTGTATCTAATACTGTTAGCTTGCTGTTCTCTATAGTCACAAGGTATACTATACTTTTATTTTTTATGTAAATAGAAATATTTATATAAGTGCATGTTTCTTATGCTTTGCTAATACGTGCTATAGCCTGATAATGGTAAATATATATTTTATAACAAGTAAATATGTGTATGGCAAGGATACGTTATTCCTGTAGGTAAGAACTAATGAGTAGTTGGTGGCCTCTGGGTTTAGTGACTTTGCTAGTCAAGGTTCTCCAGAGGATTACAACTGATAGAATAAATCTGTATCAAAAGGGGATTTGTTAGAATGGCTTACAGGCCATGGTCTGGCTAGTTCATCAGTGTCTGTATGATCACAAAGAAAAGGCCAAGTATCTGAATGTCTTCAGTCTACATTAGGATCCTGAAGGTGTACACTGAACTACTACCAGCCAAGTAATGCCTTAGCAGCAGGATAGATGAACTTGTCAGTGAGACTGAGGGCAAGCAGGACAACAGCAAAACTTCCTTCTGTGTCTTTTTATGTGGGCTGCCACCAGAAAGCATGGCCCAGATGTAGGTTGGGTCTTCTCACTTCAAATGACCCAATCAAGAAAATGTATGTCCCAAATGCTTGGGTTTTAGTTGATCCCAGATTCATGTTGTCAAACAAGCTATCACAGCGACCACTCATACCATGTTTTATAAAGACAGGTTTTATAAAGAAGGTTTATTCAAGTCTTGAGAAACCAAGACTTCCTACGTCTCATGATGCATGTCAGACCAACCACTAACAAATACCATAATATGCATTCATTCATACAAATTACGTATCCAAAATTGATGGGAGTTTTAACTTCATGACATGTTAATACATGTAATTGTCTAATTGCTAGTGGGAGGGGTCCTTATGCTCACTCAAGTGTTCTGAGGAACCAAAAGAATTAGATGATGTTTGATAATAATCAGAACAGGAACTAAGTAGTGGCTAGAGCAGGTGGAAAGACCTCAGCCCAGGAGGCTGATCTACACCCTAGGAAGAAGACAAGAGAGGATGGCTTAGTAAGGTATGTTCATACCCCAGCACCATGGAGGTTTAAGAATATCTTAGCAGAGCCACTGGGGAAAGCAGGGAATGTGACTTAGTGGTAAAGCTCCTGCTTAACACACCATGATAACACAGATTTCAAATCCAGCACTCAAGGGTGGAAAGAAAGAAAAAGGTCATAAGTCAAAAGTCCCTATCTGGCAGGTATGCATCATCTCATGGAAACCCACTGTCTTGTGCTTCCTAGTGCCATAAGGCATTGTTGGGGATAGCCATGGCTTTAACTGAAATGTGGTGGCAGTTCTGTGGGTGGCAGTAGATTGGTGTTTATGGAAATTCCTTTGACTTCAATGTGCTTCAAAGCTTCTCAATCAAATAGATCTTTATGGAGAAAGAGCATCCCTCTTTTATTGCTGTCACTTTGGGGCCTCCTCCGAGTTCTCATGACAGATGTTTTGCTTTACAGAGTGGAAGTCTCGTTCACAGCTACCGAGGCACAGGTGGCATATTTGAGGTGTGCTGGAATGCTCGAGGAGACAAAGTGGGTGCCAGTGCATCTGATGGCTCTGTAAGTGGGTGTCTCTGGTCTGCTGGGAGTGAAGGGAGGGTGCAGGGTAGCTAATTCCTAATCCAACACCAGGTTCTTCCAAAAGCATTGTGAGGCTTCCCTGTCCTGCTGAGCTTCTCCCATAACAGGTGCTTGCCACATATATGTGTGTTTACTTGTATTATAAAGGAGGCTTCTGTTTGGGTTGGAAATAGCCTTGTCTTTGCTGCAGAATATCAGTGAATTTGATTGATCTAAGATGCAATGACTCTGCACACATGTGTACCCCAGGACATAAGAGAGAATCTAGAGACTTAATAGGTTGTGACTACTTTGGTGCAGGGTGCCATTGACATTTCCTGGTGAAGTCCAGGGATGCTCTTCGGCCAAGAAATATCTGGCCACAACTAGCATTAGTATGTAAAGTAAGAAACTTGCTCCTGTTGTGTCAACATGTGCATGTTCTGGCTAAACAGTGCCATTGCAAGACATAGTTTTCATCAGACAGGACTTTTGGTTTCTGTAGCTCTTGTTGTGTTCCACTAGCATATGTCATGTTTAATTTGCCTCTTAACTTGAGGTTTCTTTCTGGCTAATGGACTGAGTCATTGTTGTGACCTGAGATCTGATGACCCAGTTACTCTGTGAGTTCCTGGAATGGTTCTTGGCCTGGCTTTCCCCTGCTCTTTGCTAGAGTTTGTTTTTTCTGATGTTCAGAAACTACCCTGTTTATAGAGTTTTTTCCCTCTCTCTCTCTTTTCTTGACTTTGTTCCATTAAAACTTTACAAGGTGGCTAGGCTGTACCTTGCCAGCATATGTTTGAAGGCACCTGATACTGCCTCTCAGAGTAACAGAAACTTTATCTTTCCTTTCAGGTCTGTGTCTTAGATCTCCGAAAGTAAACACAAAATGTAGAAACAAAACCATTCTAATGGACCAGCAGTGAATGTGTGGGATTGCAGCATCCTTCCTATGATGGGCTCCAAACTGTGTGAACATGACTTGTTCGAGTCTACTTGGAAATCACCTGTCCCTGGCCACAGGATTCTTCCCCCACCCCCTAATCTCCATCCAGAAGTTTAAAACACAAACAAATACAAAGTCATACACATGGTTGTATCACAGGAATATGGTTTCCACCTAGAATGCTCAGCTGGGGAAGGATGAAGCCATCAGCTACATGGTGCATGGTTTGGTTTCCATCCAAAACAGGCTCTAATGACTGAACAGGGAAGGAAGAACATAAAGCTGTGCCAAAAAAAAAAAAAAAAAAAGAAAAGAAAAGGTTAAAGAAAAAAAAAAAACAAAAAATGCTGTGATAAACCAACAGGGAGGAAAAACCTGCCCCTTATGGTGTTTCCCTCCCATCAATTTGGATACTACAGTTGCTCTCCAAAAGACCAGTTTGTACCAATGAAATGTGTGACTTTGTAATCCCAACGCTGTATTTTCTAGAACCTTCTTTGGTGGTTTTTCTATCTGCTAAAATTCTGTGGTCTGGGTCCTCCCACCTCAGATGAAAACTGTTTTTGGCTTAGTCCTTCAGTCCTCCCTTGTTGTTCCCCACCCCTTCCTCTGATGTCCTTGCTCTGGTGTGGTCTCACTTGTAATGAAATCCTGCATAGATATGGCCACATGCGCACAGTGGATCTTTAACGGACAGCACTCTCCCTTCCTCTCGTCCCACCCCTCCCTGTTGCTTACTCTTCCCCTTTCTCATAGTTGCTTCACATTAGGTCCCAAAGGCACTTTCAGAGCATAGTAAAGTGCTTTATGTAAGAAGGCAGGGAGGGGGACTTTTTACAGAAAAAAAAAAAAAAAGACTTATAAGAGAAAGAACCTGGAGTATTTTTTGAAAAAAAAAATATTTTTATGTTAAAAATGACTTTAAAATCCTAAAATGGCCATCAGACATAGAGAGTTTTGTGAAATTCATATTTAAGAGACTAAGAAGATACTGGCAGAGTCTGAGGTGTCTAATTACCCCTTTCCCTTCAGCTTCACACAAGGCAGTTAGGAAAACTGTGGATTTGGGAAGCGTCCTATGGAAGAACAAGGGGATTGTTTTGGCAGCTGGTGGGGAAGAGCCCACTGGTTTGGCACCACGCAGAAATCTGAGCTGTTTGGTGCACATTTACTTCAGCAGCCAGTAGGAACACAGTGAAAAAGCCACCCTGACCAAGTGTGGTTCATGGCACCTGCCAGCTACATCTTTCTCACAACAGTGTAGCTACAGATGGACACTTTATCAAGAGTATGCTTGGTAAATCTTGCAAAATCAACCCAAAGGCCTCAGTGTCACTCAGTCTCATGAAGACAATGAATCTCAAGGGAGACTTTCAATGCTAAAAAGAAATTATGACCCAGGTAGAATGTTACTAATCATTTCTGCCGACTTTCCAATTTCTCTTACAGAAGATTAGGACAAAGCTTTAAAAAAATGAGAAAGAAATAAGAGGGTTTTTTTGGCATTTTGTTTTTTTTAACTATTAAACAACAACAACAACAAAATAAGGCATTGTGTGCCTGGTAAAGTTGCCATCATCGAATCAGGTGGCCTATGTTTGCTTCTTGTCATAACTTGACACCAAGTTGTTTTTTTTAGTTTAGTAATGGGGGACAGACTATAAGGGGGCTGAGCCAAGTCACTGGGGCTGCAAATGGCGGTATGCAGGGTCCAGTCTGCAGCTGAGGCAAGTGTTACTTAGAGGAAAGTATCTATGTTCGGAGCCAAAAATCAGCCAGCAGGGAAGGTTAGGTGCTCCGTACACAACAGACAAAGGTTAGGACCAACAACATGAATCAGATTCCACTTTGATGTGTAAATTATGTGAGCCCTCAAAATCCAAGTGTGGTGGTATTGAGTTGAGCGGTAAGTTTGGACTCTGGCACCTAAACACTTAACAAAGAAAGCCCAAGTTCTGTGGAGAATTTGATCATATTAGATGTCTCTGCGTAAGTGGATATGAAGCTTTCCTGCCCTGAGACTGCTTTAGCTTTAGAATATAATTTTGGAAGTCCAGATAAATCCTATCTTTGTTCCCCAAGTAAAATTCTCTTCATCTCTACAGCAGATTAGCTGTTAAAAGTCAGTCTATTGTACAGTATGACTTCTATTTGACAAGTTCCACATTGCTATATGGTGGTGATGGGTAGATAACACATAAGGGGTTCATCAGACAATCTCTGGGTGTCCAGGCTACACCCTCTAGATGAATCTAAGCCACATAAGACTTACTATTTTGGAATCAATGGCTGTGAGACTAGGACAAAAGTTTCAGTCCATGCAGGAGAAACCTAAAGACCATTCGCTTCCCTGGTCTTGCAGCTAAACATGTATATGAACTTCGCGCTGGCCACACCAGGACCAAGCAGAAGAATGCAGCCCACACCCCTCAAGTCCATCCCCATAAAACAGCTCAGTCTGTAGCTGTTTCTGAAGTGGCCAGCGCTTGGACGCCATCATTTGCCCTGCTGTCATAGACCAGGTGCATCACTTTTGTGGTCAAGGGGTGGCCTGTGTGTAATGCTGTTACCTAACATTGTTTATAACTCCTAATACATTGTGGGGAATGGTTAGTCTTGTGACCAAATTCAACTTTGAAAGCAGTGTAGTCACACAGCAGCCTTTCCAGGTATTTTTCCTTGAGTTTGAAGTAACCACATACCATTCCCAGCACATCCAGGATGCTGCCTTTAGAGGACCGAAGGGCCAGATGGACATTACAAGGTTCAACTCTCTGACCCTACTCAACACCATAGGACTTGACTTTTTGTTCTGTCTGACTAAGAAATAGATCATGGAGCCAAGTGAAGTGCACTTTGTCACATGTAAGGATCTGCTTTGTTCCTTGTTGCTTTTCCCTTTTGAAACCTTTGTTCTACTTTCCGTTTTGTTTCCTGTCAAATGCATAAATGTCTGTTCTGCAACTCACTGAAGTTTTGAATTCTGGCTTGTGCAGTTTTTATTGTCTGTGTCAGACGTACAGCCAGACATGGTCCTCTTTCAACATTTTCCACATTCTGTTAAGCACCATCAAAACTCCCCTCCCCTTCTGTCCTCTATCCCCAACTCCCACTCACCCCTCACGCTCTTCAAGAAGAAAAAAAGAATCACCTTGTGTGTTGTAGCTCATTTGTTTCAAGAGAATCAACAGATCATATTCAGTGTCTTGAATAAATTGCTCTATTTTGATATTAGAGAACATAGTGACTGTGTTTTTCTTTTTGTTTGTTTCATCTTGGTTGGTATCTCTAACGTCTGCTGACAAATGAAGGAGAGAACAATGTGGATCACTTGTTTCTGTGACAGGATATCTGACAAAACTTTAGAGAGGGAAGACTTATTTTTGGCTCTTGGTTTGAGAAGGTACAGTCCATCATGGTAGAGAGGTTGTGGTTGTCTTGGCCCCATCTGTAGTGGCAAGAACATGAGGTGGCATGTTTTATGTATCCATAGATCAGTAAGTGGCACAGGCTTAAACTCTTAAGCTTCTCATCTTAAGTCAGCCACCTAGGCCACACAGCCTCCCAGTGTGAGGCCATTATAGAAGACGGGAAGCTCCAAGGCCCCCATGATTAAAGGGGTAGCTCTGGAGCTCACTTGAACAAGGGTGAAGATCTGAGACACTCTCAGATCAGATGGGTAGGTGTGACACCCCTTTGAGCATAAGGGAAAGAGGTCTGTTGCTTCGGTGGGAAGTCTTAGACAGAGTAAAACAGAGCAGAAAGAGCCTGGAGTGGTGGCACACTCCTTTAATCCCAACACAGGGAGACGGAGACAGTAGGACCACTGAGTTTGAGGCCTGCCTGTTCTACAAATGAGTCCAGGACAGCCAAGGCTACACAGAGAAACCCTGTCTCTAGGAAGAAAAAAAAAAAAAAGCAGAAGGGTCTTGTATCCTATTCTGCTAAAGGTGAATAGGATACCTTGTGCAGCCTAACTACTTAGGTCCTAAGGGGAAGATTTGAGACCCTCTTAAGATAAAGGATAGGTCTTAGGCCCCTATGTATATGAGGCCCCATGGAGTAATAGGCAAGCTCTGAATCAGAGGGACATGTCTTATGTCATCCTGGACATTAGCGGAAGTTCCCCTTGGTCAAAGAAAGTAGCTTTTATACCCCCTTGGGAGAGGGGGTGTCTGAGTTCACCTTAAGAGAAGGAATGAGGCTAACTCTGACCCAAGAGTAGTTCTGGTTGCCTCTTAATCAAATGAGGAATGTGTGTCTCTTTTTTAAAAGAGTTGGATTGGATCCAACCTTGTCAAAGAGAGACATTCTGAGAACTTAGAAAGGGGGGTCAATCTGAATTTCCTTGGAGAGAGAAGTAAAGTCCTCAGCTGACTTGGCAGAATAGGAAGATACAGTTCCTCGGGCATGTGAAGGTCCCAGTTACCTTGCTCAGTAGACAAAGGTCCCAGCACTACCACGTTAGCTTCCAGCAATTCCCATCTCCAAATACCCATACATTTCATGTAATCTCCAGAAGACAAAGCAAACAACACTTCCAACAGGAAGAGTGGTCGTCCCAACCTTTGATGTTAACTCAAGATTTATGTTTAGTTGTATAGATCTATGAATGGAAAATGGGAACATTTCATTTCTAGTAACAGCCTTGAAGACAGATGGCCAGGTTCTTTCAGCTTTGTGATCTAAACCAAGAATATTCTGAGGTCCCATGGGTCTCAAGAGTATTTGACTAGCTATCTTGCTGAGGCACGGGCACTCTGCAGCCACCTTCATTAGAAGGGAACAGGTGTGAGTTCATCACACCTCTGTCATCAGAGGGCTAGGACTAAAGCCCCCTTGAACAGAGAATACAGGTCTGAGGCCTCCTTGTTCACAGGGGCGCCTTATCAGAGTGGCACACTCTAGACCTCCTTGGGCAAAAGGAGAGTCTGAAGTTCTCTTATTCAAAGTGGGAAGGTCACAGACCCCACCTCTGTTTTCTTGTGCAGAGGGAGTGGTGTAAGTTCCTCTTGGTTTGAGGTCCTT